GACCAAATTCTTTTAGAAATCAAAATAATGATGATACAATGAATACAACCCAATCAGAAGAACTTGCTGGAGATGATTTATTTATTTATTTCAAGTATTTTTACCTCGCCCTTCTCAACCCCCTGGGGACTCAGGGTGGCTTCCAGCCGGTAACAATTTGATGCCTTCATGTACACATAATAAATTACAGAACAGAAACAATAGTTATATATAATTAAAAACATTAAGTCAATACAATTAAAATGTACTAAAATATACCAGTCTGGTGGCCATTATCTAGTCGAATTCAATAGTTGGAGACTCATCAAGCTTGTCCATAGTCCATCACCATAGCAATTGTCATCATTGTCATTGTCATAGTCCGCATAGTTACCCAAAAGCCTGGTCCCACGTCCACGTTTTTAACTTCTTTCTAAAGGTGAGGAGGGATGAAGACAGGAGGGATATTCCAGCCTCTTCTGCAGCAGCAGACTCCTCTAGCCCTGCCAGCTGAAAATAGTCTTTGGCAAGCTGTCCTATATATTCATGTATAAGTCTAGAAATTTTGGTCAAAAATATCTACCTAAAAATCTGAGAACGGTATAGTATAGTATGTAAGAACTATACTTTAACTCTTATGAAGGGAATCATCCCCTTCTCTGAGTAGAGTGACAGAAGGTGAGAGCTTAATATGCCCTGGAGAAGCCTAAAAGAATCACCAGCCCCCTCTAGTCTCCCCACTGTGGTGCCACTCTCTGGCCCTCCTGAATTCCAAGAAGTGACAATGGCAGTGGCATCCAGATGGAGCTGATCCCCAGAGGCAGAGCTGGCACTTTCCCTTCTCTGCAGAATGACCTTCAATTTATCCATAAGTCAGATTAGAATCCATAATGTTGGCTCCAGAACCTACTTTTATATGAGGCCAATTTATATGTGAGTATATACAGTAGATAACATATCATAAAATACTTAGGATGTAGCAGTGTCAAAACAATACGGTATTGACTTCATTTATCTAATCTTAGCATGGGCAACATTGCCTAGGTAAATAGTCTGCCTGGTTTAAAATGTCTGTTGCCTCAAGAGAGCAGCCGACCACAGCAGAGTTGAAAAATATTGTTGCAGGCATTTAATTTCAGTAGTGAAATTAGGCTCAACTACAAGCCCAGTCACTTTGTGATTTGCCTTGATCAGTAGAGTATCTGGAACCGATCCTGTTTGGATGTCGTCTGATTCTTCAAGAACCACCTTTAAAAAATTGTAGCTACCCAGAAAACCCAGACTTGGGGATTTTTTTCAAGAAGGTAGATTATTACTGCACACGATCTTTAAAACTTTAAATTGGCTGTTAAGAGGACCACTTTGTATAGCAAAATTCAGTATGCTGTTTGCATTGTTCATCAGGCAGGTTGCTTCACTAGCAGGTTTAGTGACATTTATTTGGCAGTGGGTTTTGCAAAAACTTGCCATTGTGTGGAGATTAATTGCTGTAATCTTGAATAAATCCCACCAGTATTGAAAACTGCAGTACATTCATTTACTGATACAATTAGATGTCCACTAGAAATCCAGATTCTTGTTGTCAAGAAGCTAAGACTGATGATGTTACAAATATGATTTGCAGAACTATTTGCAATGACCTGATTTCATCACCTACAGTGATGATGTTAATGTGATAGGGTGTATTTCTTTAAGATAACATCAAGCAATACTCTATATTACAGATTAATAAAGAGAGTTATCTTGTTAATTCCATAGTATGTATTAAAAATACAACAAAATGTTATAGCATATCCTTAGCCTCTAACAGGATTTTATTCAGCCATGCCACCTTCCAGGATACTGTGGCTCATTTTATACATCTTGTCAGGGTTTATATGGAAATCTGGCTTGTAATTTGTAGAATCATAGAGTTGGAAGGAACTGCATGGACCCTGCTATGCAGGGTTCAGCTGAAGCACTCCAGGGAGTTTGGCAAAGACCTCCAAAGGAGTGTTACCACCCTCTGAGACAGTCTATTCAACTGGCAAAAAAGCACTTCCTAATGTTTAGGTGAAATTTCTTTTCTTGTAGCAATGTTATTGTTATCATTTCTTACCCATCTCTCCTCAAGGCTGGGGAGAGGGGGGAACATACAACTATGGCAACATTTTAGATCATAGGAGGAACCATAGTGCAGTGGCAAAGTGTAACAGCATGCAGAAGTTCCCAAGTATCTGTCCTAACAAATCCAGTCTTAAAATGACAAGCTGACATGTATGCAAAACACATCTGCCTGTAACTTTGGATAACATTTGGACAGAAAGAACGAGATCTAATACAATCTGATTACACCCAGTCTTTTTTTAAAAAAAGATTATTTCGAACAGATGCCGGTGTCAAAATCTAAAAGAGTATTTTTTTCCAATATGTGGTTATCAGTTAAGCACTCATGTCCACTACATCTCATTTGCAAGTAAATAATCATATTTAAGAACTAAACAATTTAAATAACATAACATAAAATTATGCAGTATTGTCTTTAGATTTTTGGGATCTGATATGAAATAACTTCTGGCAGAACACTTTGTTGATGGGCTTTGGTGAGCTTATCTGACCAGTAATAGTCTAAATAACATATGATTGATGTTAACTTCTGTTCTATTTCCCCATAACACCTAGAAGTGATGCTACATCAGGGATATTATAGGACATTAAAGCAAATACTAAAAGAGGAAGGTTCATGTTATGTGTGGGCAGTAGGCTCTGTCAGAATTTTGGGTTAACAGCATTTGCTCCAAGAGTGCCAAGTACTGACAGTTATGAAGAAGCAACCTTGACTAATAAAGGGAAGTCAAACATTCTTGGAACTTACAATGGCGGCTTCCTAATACAAGAGTTAAGGCTTGTGAGTTGTGTTCTATTGTGGAGACAACAAGCCGCAAGGTCTTCCTCCTCAACATTTCAATGCTGGAGGATGCTCTGAGCTGACTGTTGCATCAGAATCCTCTGTAGATTTGTACTGGCCCTGTTTATTCTTGTTTCCTTTACTGGAAATCATACATTTATCCATTTATTCCACTTCATGGCATTTCAGGCTTTTTTGGCTCCCTTGGGCTGGCGGGTTCCATTAAGAGGTTCTATCCTATGAATGCATCTTTAATGTTCTAAGAAATATCAGGGAGACATTTTGGATGCTTGTTGAAGAATAGCTTTAAACATGTGGAATACTTTTGATTAGGAGGTCAAAGAATCACTGAGCAATAGATATATTATTACTGTGTGGGCATATCTGTTATTAGAATACCTGAGTGTTGCCTTTCTCTCCTATTAAATGCTCTCTTGTTTGTTCCTAACTTCCCCTGTTTAACAGCAGACAAACCCAGGGAGCACTGAATGAGTCGGATGATCCTGAAACAGGCTGTCTAACTGATAACAAGCCAACTTCTCGTCACTTCTATCCTGTCGCCTTGTTGCTTGTCAGCTCACATTTGCTGGTTGTGTGGCTTATTCTAAGTCTTGCTTTATTATTAGCCAAATATCAGTAAAGGTCACTTCTGTTCTTTCCTTTTCTTTTCTATGAACAGCAACAGCTTAAGATTTAAAAATTGTGCTGTATTATTTCTACATTTTGAGACCTGCAAATGTGTCCGTACAAAGCCAATGTCTTGAACTGTAAAGGTTTCCCTCCTGACACAGCCCAGAACTCAAGAAAGCATACTATGCATTGAGTAAATTAATCTGCTTTCTATTTCTAGCAAGTCTTTTTGCACTGTCATTAGCACTTAACAAAAGCCCATTTATAGCAGTGTTTCTCTCAATTTCCCCCCACCAACTTAGGGTCAATTCCCATTCTTTTGGGTGATTTTCCACCACCTCCCTTTGAGGCCATTGGGTAAAATTGTTCTCCAGCTTGTCCCCAACACACATGCACTCAGAGAAGAAAACTACCAAAGTTTATTGTGATTTTTTTCTGGCATTGGCATTATTGTAATTGTCACTTGGGGAGAACACAAGAGACAAATGGCTCCTGGTAGGAAAATGTGGTGGCCAAATGCACAGCATAAAGGTATTGACACATTGGTGGTTATGGTCAGCCCATAATCATTAAGTATGAAAAAAATGAAACCTTCTTTTGTGCACATAACAATTCAGTCCAAGCTGAGTATTTTAGACAGATCAGTTTGTAAGACTAACTTTCAGTGTGGTGCTTTCATTGTTAGTTGCTGATAGTACACTTCTGTTTGGACAAATAATGCACTCTTCTTCTTTTTTTTAATTTGTTGCAACTAACCCACTTCTGTCAAGCCATTCTATGGCATTCAATAAGTTCTGTTTTGTAACCAAATTAACCTGTTTGTAACTGTTGCTTTGGTTGTCTTTTGCTTTTACAAAACACATCTATATTCTTTTAAGCAAAGCTTTCTTTCTGTCTTGATGCACCATGTTGGCTTTTGTGACTTTTGTACTGTGTATGAACGAAGCATCTCTTCTTTGTAAAGCAGAGAGTTGGATCAAGCTATTGGAAAGCCGTTTTCTCTTCCTTCCTTTGCAATGCTTGACTGTGTTGAAAACCAGACAAAGATGGAAATTCCCATTAGAAATCTATAGCGCCAAACTTAATAAAATGCCTTATTCCTAAAACCTGCACACTTAAGGCTACATGTGAACTTTAAACATGTGCAACAGAAACTAAATGAAACCAATTTGGGGGGGGGGGGATTAAAAGAATTTTTTAAAAGTAAATATATTTCTAAATGTAGAGTAAAATATATCATAAAGTATTTAATCTTTAATCCAACCACAGTGAAAGAGGAATATATAAAGAAAACCCCACAACCTATTTCTAAGGGCAATAACTGTATTGAGCCTGGCCTTGGATCTAATTTTGTAAGATGTATCATCACTCGTGGAGAATATATTGTAGAGTTGAATCTTTGTTATTTTTACTTCAATTGTTGCTGAAACTCTGCAATGTACAAATAAAACATATTTATTTATTCTTTGTTTCATGAAGTTGTCTTTTTTCCCCTTTTCACCAGAGAAGGATGCCGCATAGAAAATGTACTGAAGAATATCAAATGCAGAAAGTATGCTTTCAACATGATACAGCTGATGGCTTTCCCCAAGTACTACCGACCACCCGAGGGAACATATGGAAAAGCTGACACCTAGGCTTTAGACCAAAATCCAAGCAAACATTTATTTTCAGTGTGCAGAATCACACAGCTACTCTCATTAGTTGACACAAATCACTTTGTGTATCTCACAAGCTGAGAGCATGTAAAAGGAAAGTACTACCTAGGACCTGTTCTTGTCAGACTGTACTGTCGTTCGAAAGGAAACACCAATAAAGTATGGTAGGCTGAGTGATGTCTAATTTTTCAAATTTAGACTTGTATCTCATAAGTCAACCAGAATTAAAGGTGTGAAAATGGGTGACCATATGCTGAGTTGGTAGGAAATGACTGTGGGCCTGAACTTGTATCTAACACCAACTTCCACATTAGGCTGCACTGGAGTGTGGGGCATAAGATTCATGACAACTTTGGAAAGGGAATGTTGATCTCCTTGACTTTACACTACATATTTGTTATATCGTGTAGCCTTCAGGGCATTTTTTAAAAGTCTAGCTACATATATCATTCACATGTTTTGAAAATGAGGTGACAGTTTGGGCTTTCATCCATTATTCCTAGTATCATCTTGCAATTCTCTTGGATGCAGGAACTTGTGTTTTTACCAGCCATACTCTTTGATCTTGAGGAGTAACCCATGTAAGCAACATAAACCAAAGGTAACCACTAAAGTGTATTCTCTGTGTGATGTGGGAGCATCAAGGAGGCAAAGAGATTCTACTGGTGTTTGTACTACATTGCATTGTACGTATCTGAATTTAGCTAAAAATAATAACATTATTGAAACTGAAATCTACAAAAGGCCTAACAATGAAACCTGGGCAGGAGATTGAGCTACACTCACTTGAAATGTTGAGAAATTAAATAAAATGTAATAACTTTAATAAAAAATTATCAAAATTGCAAATAATAACCCAGTTATGGCATGTCAAAAGTTGTAGCATATCAACATAAAAACTAATTTCATTTTCTCATTTTCAAATTCAGTGTAAATCTGTGTTTTGTATTTAAAACACAACTTAAAGTACGCAGTAGCATAGGAGCTGCAGTGGTGCAATGGGTTAAATTCTTGTGCCGGCTGAACTGTTGACCTGAAGGTTGGCAGTTCGAATCCATGAGATGGGGTGAGGTCCCATCTCTTAGCCCCAGCTTCCCACGTGGGGAGATGAGAGAAGCCTCCCATGCAATGGTAAAACATCTGGGCATCTTCTGGGCAGCATCCTTGCAGATGGCCAATTCTCTCACACTAGAAATGACTTGCAGTTTCTCAAGTTGCTTCTGACATGAAAAAAGTATGCAATATGTATCATTGTAAGTAGCTTACAATGAACCAAAAACCATTTAAGGTTGGGAAAGTGACCTCTGAGTGAAAAATTTCCTATAATGCCTTGTTAAAATGTCATCTTGTGGTTAGATTCTAGTCCACCATTTTGCCAATATTTGTGTGATTGGTCCCATTTAGTAAGTTTTATACTATCTGCTTGCTCAAAATGAGCATGTGTTTATTGAAAGTGAGCCAGTTTCTTGTCAGTTTAGTATAGCATCTTATTATCTTGAGTAAAAGAATCCGTGGAAAAATATTATTTGCATTATAAAGCATACAAGATGTGTACAAACTACATATAACTTTACTATTATGAATTTAATCACAGGTCATGAAATACAACTATTTTGCATCACATATCTGTGTATTATGATAAAACTTCATATACTGCAACATATAATACAAATTTATGGCTGAAAAACAAGTATGGAAGCCAGCAGCATAATCCTCAAGGAGTTCTTTTCCACAAACACTATTGAAGTGAATGAGGGAAAGAGCTGTATTCTTCATTAATTTCTTTGGATCATATTATGAAATGCCCCCCTACTTTCCAGTTCATCATACTGAAAATAAAATAAACATATCATATTTCCCTCTGTTTCTGTTTTTAAGGAAAGGCTGGATGGCCATCTGTCAGGAGTGCTTTGATTATGTATTTCTGCATTGGTCTAGATGTTCCTTGTGGTCTTTTCCAACTCTATCATTCTATGGCTAGATATGGTTAATTCCCATACAATGTTGCTGCTATAAATGCATTAAAATCTGGATTGAAGTTTAAGGTGCAGCTCATGAGACTACTGCAGAAATTTATTGTTTAATATTAAGCTTTATATGAAAATAGGAAATATTCTTTGATCATAAGAAGATAAAAACAAGAGCAGAGGGACACTGTAAAGTGTATGTCTTAATTTTAGTGCTTTTTCAATGATGCTCCAGAACAGAATGTTACTAGGTTAGCATACACAGCTGACAGATGTTTTTAAATTATTTAATACTGTATAGAGTTTTCTGCCTGCTTAAGAACCCTGGTGTTTGGAGTGCTCTGCAGCCCCAGTGAATGTGTTTTTATGGTGCTTCTAATGCCATAAGACTTTGCTTGCCCCTTATGTATTATTTCTTTGGTCTTTGAAAAAATGATGCTTGAAGTGCATATTTCCACTTGCCAAAACTATACTTTAAACTTTGACCATGTTTTAAAGGAGAGGAATGGCACATAAGTGTAGGTCAGTTATTGTAGGGAAACAAATGGGGGGGGGGGGCTTTAGACTTTTAAGAAACCTTCTTTTCCTCCTCTTTTGTATAATATTATGGTATGCCATCCTTCATTTTGTGCTATTAGACACTTTCCCCCATTCCTCTTTGCATGCAAATGCAGCAGTGGCATGCATTTTTAGTAGCCATCTTGGAAGACATCCTTAAAATGGGGTGATGGTTATTGTTTAGCTTTGCATGGTAATTTTAAAAGTCCCCAGAAGGACTTGCATTGCTTGAATCCTAATGCATCAACCCATGGATAAGATCTAGGATCAGGAGGTGTAGCATCCATGTATCATAAAAGTAGAATTCAGAAATGTTTCTCTTCTCTTCCTTGCTCCCATAAACATTTTCAGCTTCTGCAGACACCCCAAAATTCTAATTTACTAGCTGGTGTTGAGGAGAAGGGTAGCACCCAAGGACATTCCTACATGGATACCAGCAGCAAGACATTCTCTGGACTTCATAGAACAGTAGTTCTCAACCTGTGGATCCCCAGATGTTTTGACCTACAGCTTCCAGTAATCCCATTAGGATTTCTGGAAGTTGAATGCCAAAACATCTGGGGACCCACAGGTTGAGAACCACTGTCCTAGAGAGTTTTCTAGAAATCCTGGAAGTCAATATCTCCAGTTATAGGAACACAATGATGTGCTTCCACCCATCTTTCTTCCCACTGACACGTTAATTGGGTTTTCAGGCAGAGCTTGGTCATTGTAGGAGGTCATTAAAGAATTCAAACCACTGCAGTCACCCAAACAGGTGTATGTTGAATTTAAATCACTAACAGGATGTCAAACCATGTTTGGAACCTATGGCACAGCCAGATATGGAGAATAGGGGTGATCCTCTTCCAAGAGGAAAACTAAATGGCCAACCAGGCCTGTGTAAGCTTTCATGCATGGCTGAATTAGTTCTCTGGACTGTGCCTCCATCTACACTGACCATTCAATGCAGTTTCAAACCAGTATTGAAGAAAATGTTATCATTGTGCAAATTACTTAGGAAACCATTTTGAGGTTTGTATGGTGATTACATAAACCACAGAGCACTGATGCACATTAAGGACTTTCTTTTGTGCACTTTTTGTGGGAGTTTGTTTCTGGCCATCACAGGTTGAAGCTGGCCTTGAACTGCATGAAATGGTCAGTGCAGATGGAGCCACAGTCCCTGGAATATCACTACTGCACATGCAAGTGGGCAGCTTACAGCTCTCAGATGTTGTTGGAATGCAACTCTTCATACCTCACAAGTGGTTATCCAACACCATTGCACTTCGCATCCAACAACATTTTTTCCACCCCTCCTTTAATGCATTCATGACTGTTGTGAAACATTGTGGAGAAAATCTGATGAATATATGCTTTACATAGTTTGTGGAGAAAGCATGAAAGTATGTTTTGATAGTTTACTTCTTCTTTCATTGAATTAGACAACCATTTTTGAACATTCAGCTTTAATGCATGTATAGGGCTTTTTATCATTTTGCGTAATGTTTTAGTAACTGCAAATGTTTCTGTGTATAAGCCATATCCATTGTGCATTTTGTGTGTGGGTTTTTTGTGCATGTATTTTTATTTAAATAAATGTGTCTTATTTTTCATAGTTTTTGCCTTTCTGTGTTTGAATGGTTTCCATCACCATTAAACAAACAGCATGAAAAGGTTAGATCCTGGGAGGAAATATCTTGTGTCACTTGAAGTGACACATCTGAAGCTTCAGAGAATTGTTTTTGGGGGATGCAACATTCTTGAAGGACTTTGGAGACATAAGTAGGTCAACTTATAAAATGCCCTTTGAAAGGTTTTCATTTATGTTTCCCAAGTTGCATTCCATTTATACTAGATCACATAAACTGGTGACTCATGTGGAATTTTATGTTAGTGTTAGGGTAAGTATTCTAATATAGATTTGGGCAACATCATTCCATGTGTGTATATTTCTTATTCACCATGATGATTTACATCTAGTAATCATATGTTTGTTATTACATGCATGAGGTTATGCTGCCTACCTACTGCATACACCAGTACAGCAGGCAGTTTAATCTTATTTCTGTCCAAAAGATGAGCACTGTCCTCAACCTCACTGAATCCACAGGCTAGCTTGAGGCAAAGCAAAGAACTTTCTTTCCTCTATATGTTAATAAACCATTTATCTCATCATACCTCACCACAGGCCAGGTGAGCTGATAAAAACTGATGTTCAACACATCATCTAAAATGTTACAAGTTCTGAAGTCCTGGCTCAAGGAATAAAGGAGGCTGCAGGTTTCATGTATAGCTTTTTCCTTCATTTCTTCACTGCTCCTGACATCTCAGCATCTTCCTCCTGAGATTGTGGAGTCAGACCCTGAAAGAAAAGAACGTTCATGCTGTCTTGTAAATCTCAATTTTCAGAGGGATGCATCCACATTTTGAGCAGTCAGTCCCATATAATCAAAGCTATTATATATTTTATCTAGAAAGTAGGCATATTAACTCTGTTTTCCTTGTTTTTTATTATTCTTACACACACACACACACACACACACACACACACACACACACACACACACACATATATATATATATATATATATATATATATATAGGGGTACCCAATGGCGCAGCAGATTAAACCACTGAGGTTCTGAACTTGCTGACCAAAAGGTTGGTGGTTTGAATCCAGAGAGCAGGGTGAGCTCCCGCTGTTAGGCCCAACTTCTGCCAACCTAAGAGTTCTAAAACATGCAAATGTGAGTAGATCAATAGGTATTTCTTCTGCAGGAAGGTAATGCCACTCCATGCAGTCATGCTGGCCACATGACCTTGGAGGTGTTTACAGACAATGCCAGCTCCCTGGCTTAGAAATGGATATGAGCACCATCCCCCAGAGTCGGACTCAACTAGACTTAATATCAGGGGAAACCTTTACCTTTGCTATATATATAAATATTTTTGAAACATTATTTTCTGTTTTGAACCAAAAAGATAGTACAAATGCAATTGCAGCCCTATAGTCTGTCTAGTTCACAAAAGTTCAGGCCTCAATAAAGGTGTTAAAGTTGTGTGTGCTTTCATATCACCTGTCAATTTATGGTGACTCCATAAAATTTAAAGGACTTTCTTAGGAATACTCAGAGGTGGTTTGTCAGTTCCTTTCTCTGAAATTTAGCCTATAGCACTGTGTATTTACTGATTTTCTCCAATCCAAGTATTAACCAAGTCTGATCCTGCTTAGCTTCCATGGTCAGATAGGATTTGATACCTAAAGGTGCCATAGAAGAAAAGTTCTGAACATCTACAATTGTCTCATGCCATTGGTCCACTGTGTTTTTTACCTAGGGTGATAGCAACTCTCAGAATTTCAAACATGAATCTTAGCCAAAGATGCCAGAGACTGGACTGGGACTATTATTTGTTGTCTGCTGTCTAACTCCTATTTCACTCCTTGTCTCTGACTGTCCTTGTAAATCTCTTTTATACACACATACATAGCTGAACCTATATATTCAGCATCTTGCACAGAACACTCTTTGGTCCCATCATTGTCAATCATTTCCACATAACTTTTCTTCCATCCATCATACCTTAAAAGAGCAGCAGACACAGGACAGGTCAAAACATTCATTTTATCGCGTGTTAAAATAAATATGGGCTCACTGAACCTAGTGCACATTCAAGACTTGGATGGGTGGTATATAATTTATTTATTTATTTATTTACTTTGCTTATATACCGCTGTATCTCAAGCCCGAAGGCGACTCACAGCGGTTCACAAACAGTAAAAACAGTAGAAACAGCAGTGGTTCCATACAACATATAACAATTGACTTAACACATTATCCATAAATTACCAATAAGCAATTACAATGCACAATTATTACAAAAAACAACCGTACCCAATCTTCTCATCATATAAGCAGTTAATGCCTGAAACAGAGTGAACTCCCATTTTCCTTTGGTTTTTTTCCACTCCCTGCATAATAGTGCTGCTTTGAAGTTGCTTCTTCTACCATATGCAATGTTTCCTGCTGTTGGACACTCAGCAGGTCATCCATGTACTTCAGTGACAGCCTCTTAATGTCTGATGCACGTTCTACAGATCCAAGAGAACACCATTATCTCTGCAAGAGGATCTCCTCCACATCAAGGAAAAATACATACCAGGATCTCCACTTTGCCCTCAGCTACCCCTAAGTTCTCACCACAGGCAATATCCAATGGCAGATATTTACCAAAGTTCTTTCTTCATAGTAGTAGGATGTACCCACATGGAAAGAGAACTATGGCTACAAATCCAGTGAAAAGTGAATGTCAGTTATTTTGCCAAGGAAAACATTATCTTTATCAGTGAACTTAATCCAAAGAGAAAGAGGGGAGACAGAACAGGTAACTGCTTGGAAGAACCCTTTACAACCCTTATAAAGTACAAATGTGCTAGTTATTTCTACAAAGTGTTCAAATATGATCGCACAAGCAGGCTTTATATCTGCTGTCCCAAGAAACAGCCAAGAGGAACAAGAAGAAGCCTATTACCATAAGCTTGGAATCCAGGTCACAAACTGGCCATAAAAACTATGAATCAATAATGATATGAAGTTGTAGTTGTCATGGTTCCTACATTAGCATGAAACTCACCCAATCTCCACTTACTAAGCAGAAACCACTATGATCAATGGGAGTCTGTTGCCATGTGAAAAGAGCAAAGGGGATTTGTGGCAGGGATCCTGTTTCGACTTAAATGTTTGGAGGCCGCAGAGATTTCCAGTTCTTGTTGGACCAATGCTTTCAAGTAGGCTGGAATGTGCTGAATTCGCACTCAGGGCTCTGAACATTGAGGAAAATAACAATGGGATTCTTTTAAAATGTTGCTGCCACCATTCTGGAAACTCAGTTTCCCTAACTGCTATGGAACTACTTCACACAGAGGCACTCTTGAGACAGTTGTTGATTAACAAAGAACAAAGTTGTTTATTTGTGTAGATTTCAAAAATACAGGCACTTAAGCATAACTGATGCAAGAATGAGATGAAGCTTATGGTTACTTTAAAAACAGTTCATTGCTTCGTTCCGAAAACAACTCTTCACTCCCTCAGGAAACTAGTTGACTTCCCTCTGGCTAGAATTCTTAAAAACTCCAGACAGTCCTTTCCCTTGGATCTGTCTATACTCTACACCAGCTATTCTTCCTAATAGCTATCTGTAAACTCTAACCACTTTGGTTTCTCTAACTTCTCTTCTATTAACTCTATCTCTCCCAACTGTCTTCTTCAAAACCCAGAACCTGATTAACTTCTTCAACACAGAGACCCTGACTAAACTGTCAGATTTTAAAATGCACCCTTTCAGGCAATTTTTTTCTGCACTCTAACTAAGCTCCACCCACTTTCTCCCAGTCAATCACAAAGGTTCTCCACATTTCCCTCCAGGCTGCCTCTAAGCTCTGCCTCCTCTAGAAAATGACTACTTTAAGATGGCTGCCTCCATGCACCATCTCACAAAATGGCTGCCGAAACACTGGGGCCTACTTCCTGAGCTTTTCCCTGGCCTAAAAGGTAGGCAATTCATCACACATTCCATCCCCTAAGATCCACAAACTAGTGGCCAGGGTATTTGGAGAGGTGTTATCTAAAAAGGCGACTCAACCTCTTCTAAAATCAGAAATGAAATCAGAATACAGGATTGGGGCCAGAGTGATGTTTTCATTTGGCATCAAAATGAAGCTTCTAGGGCAGTGGTTCTCAACCTGTGGGTCCCCAGGTGTTTTGGCCTAAAATTCCTAGTTTACCAGCTGTTAGGATTTCTGGAAGTTGAAGGCCAAAACATCTGGGAACCCACTGGTTGAGAACCACTGCTCTAGCGGATGTCATTCCACAAACAGGGATCCAGGCTGTAAAAATCCTCTTCTAAATCCTTTCACCAGGTGTTGTCCTCACTGATGCAAGAAGAGCCTTCCAGAGGACCACCTTTTAAAAAAAGAATTTGACAGTAACATACAAAAACACAAACATTTTAAAATACAGTAAAATTTATGCATTGAAAAACAAGAATATTTTATCTCATGGAGTCACATAGACAATTGCAAGATTACATAATATCATCATTCATAGTTGTATTCTTTAAAAAGTGTGTTTTGGTATGTCTGTGCTGGTGTAGAATCACAGAATCGTAGAGACTGAAGCAACCACATGGACCATCTAGTCCAACTGTTGTATCCCTGAGCAGGAACACCTCTGACTTAAACACCACACCAGTATAATAAAAACAGCAGGCGGTTTATTAAAGGATATATGTAAGCAAAGCAATAAAAATGATAGAAACAGTATAGTCCAAAGCAGTATATTCCAAAGGTAACAAATAGTCCATGAACTTCAAGGTACAAAGATAAAAACACAAGATCCAAGGATGCAAAATCCAAAGAAACAAGTCAGCATGAAGATCCAATACCCAGAAATCCACTTGGAAACAAAACCATCATGAAAATTCAGTGATGACCAGACTGAGCTAAAATCCTTTTGCTGTTTCATATAAAACTTTTCCTGTCTCATGAAACGAAAGGAAAACATTCTGCTTGCTTTTACAAGTAGATAAGGATTTCTTATCTCTCTTTTCTAGCAGACG